AGCAGGTCAACCACCTTCTTACTGACAGCAGCCAGTGACGCTTGACTTCGGTGTTTAACTGGGAACTGCGTCTTTACAATCAGTCTACTGCGGGACTTTTCTGCAAAAGAGAGCTGATGAGTAGAAAAACTATTAAGCTATGTTTTCTGTAGCCTTTCAAGCCTTTAAAAAATGTTTAAACATCTGGTAATTTTTTTCTTGAACTGTGCCACATCTTTCTGAAAGTAGTACTTGTTTTCAAAATATTTTACAGAACAAAAGATATGGTATAATATTTAAGTTTTGGGAAAATATGATAAGTAATGTTAGCTTCACTGAATAACAAAGAAGATGAAATACAAAACAGTGAATTTAGCATATTCATTAAAATGATAATAAAGTCCGTGTTAGAAAAGTTTTAACTTTCAAAATAACATTTATTTTATTAAATAAATAAGATAACATTTAATAACATTTATCTTTTGTTAAAGTAAAACAAAGATAAATGTTTAAATAAATAAAAATGTAATGAATGAAAAGAGTTTATAAACAAATCTTGAAAAAAAAGAAAGAAGACCAAATTATAAAGCGTTTGAGCATATATTTTAACACGATGTAATGACAGTAATAAGCACTCAGGACTGTCTATGTTTGCGTTACAATGAATCATTCATGTTAGAAGGGCTTATAAACTGTCTCTGCAATGGGTAAAGAGGTCTTCACATATTTGCGGAGATGCCAACTGTTTCGAATAAGACGAAATATTTAGAAAAAAAAACTGTAAAGAAATACAAACTAAAATTTACAGATTTTCGGTAACTTGTACCAACTTTTAACCTTTCTGGGACTGGCGAGATATATTCGTATGGAATCAGAAATAGGATGGGGAAAAAAAAGCTGTAGCTTAAGTTTGGGCATGGCTAATTTGACAGCCTTATTTTTGCTTTCACTTTTAATTTAATACATCCAATCTACGTTTGTTAAAAGTGTAACAACTATATTATTTTTAATTTGAACTAAGTCTTGGTGATATTAATAAGGAAAACTATTATTACCCCTTCCACAAATAAACTGCAAAAAAAAAAAATAGTTAGGTCACCCTGAAAATGCATATATGCCCGTTTCGAAGAGGTTAAAGGCGGTCAACACTGCATGAATGCATAGCTTGAATTACATACATTTTCAGGCTGGTTTACGCAATTAAGACTTATAAACATTTGTCAAGTAGAAAGATATAACAAAGTATACATCTAGGGTACCGGCGTGATTCGAACCCGCTACCTCCTTGCTTCGCATAGTGTTTAGCAGGAGATACCACTTGAACGGGAAGGCCCCTGCACATGCGCATCAAAGGGGCATATTAAATAAGCTTTTAATTACTTAAATGCAGTGGTAAGTAAAAATCCTACAAATCAAATTTTCTAAATCAACAATCGCACATTAAAAGAATGCCACTCGAAAATATTTATTCGCTGACCGGAGCAAGATGGCATCTTTCTGTATGTGCTGTATCTCTCTGTAAATATAAGATCTTCATACTAAAAAATGAGGCTGAAAGTCCATATATATCAAGACGGAAAAGAGTAAAAACTGGTAACAAAAAAATTTCATTTTTGGATTTTTTTTAAGGAATAATAAAATATGGACACAATTTATCTATTGAATTGCTTCTTTCCAGTGAAAACATTAATAGCAATGAATTATTAATTGTTAAGAATAGATTTACTCCTCACGAAAATTATCTATTATTGAAATAGTTCTACTACTAGTGCTTTCTCTTTTCCGCCTCGCTTCCATGCCTGCTACTAACGTGAACAAAATAAAAAAGCGGATGCAATAATGATCGGATTTTCACTTACTAAGACTCACTTCGCTTACTATGGTTTAACTTCTAACTTTAAATATGCCAATTAATTAGTGTGGGCCGTGAGGGATGAGGGGATAGAGCGTTCGCCTTCTAATGAGGCGAACCGGGTTCGAATCCCAGTCGATACGAATTTTGCACCCGGTTTGCACCGAAAACAATGCTGACGTGAAATATCCTCAGACGGCTCATATGTTAGAGTCCCCTTACCGTCAGGCTAACCGTGGGTGGTTCTCGTGGTCTTCCTCTCCATGTAACGCAAATGCGGGTTGGCTCCATCAAAAAGTCCTCAAAGAAGACAAGTCTCCTTGTCTTTTGGATTGGGTTCAAAATTATAAGGCTACGGAGTTGAACATTTGTAGTCGTAAACCCATGAAATTGAGTTGGCTGCTCAACAACTCTGATAAAAAGGAGTAATTAATTAATTAGTGTAAACGATATTCTAAGATGCAAAATCAGACACACAAGTATATTTCATGTGAATGAATATACGATTTGGACGAATTTGAATTCCTGACTGTCAAAATATGGAAATGAGTCTTAATCTAGAAAATACGGATCTGGAAAATATAGTCTTATAGTATAGGCAGGAAATCGATAGAAAGCATTGATCCCTGTATAATAATTTAATTTTTTACATATTTAAATATTTCGAGAACTTTTTGAGGAAGAAAAAACGAAAAAGTTTTTATCGCAATTAGGAAATTTGTTCATCTATATAAAAAAAATTCACAGTAACATATTTTTTCAATAATTCTGAACAAAAAAATTTGCAATTATTATATGTAGTACAGCGCGCAAAATAAAATACGGACCATGCTAAATAACTTTAAATTTGATGATCGGATCTTCACATTCTAGAAGTTAATGGTTCTTAATGGATCGAGGGAGTAACATTAAATATGCTAATTAATTAGTGCAGACGATATTTTAAGTTACGAAATCAGACACTAAAGCATACTTCTCTATATAAGCATTCCCTTTAGATTAGATTTTGATCCCCAAAATATAGAGGATAGCCGCGATCTAAATCAATATGGTCTGGGGAATGGGCCTAAGTTTGGACCCCCTAGTCTTAATTTTACTTTTTACGTATTTCGCCAGATCGTAAGAGCTTAAGCAAATTGAAAATTTTTTGTACACAGCCATAAAATTTGTTTAAAGATAATTCCATGCAAAATATAACTTTTAGTAAATATTTATTATTTTATTGTTATTTTATTTAATAACAGTCAAAAATTTTTTGAATGGTAAAGCATATTATTTTTACACCATTTTAAATAATGCAAATTTAAGTGGCGAAATTCAAACTTTGAAGGAAATCGGTTGAATAGTTTCTGAGAAGTCTATTTTGAAAAAGCCGTATTTTAAAAATTCGTTTTCTTAGGAACAATTCGACCAATTTCACTCAAAGTTTGTATTTTGTCATGTAAAATTATATTGTTTAAAGTGAGGCAAGAAATTTTATAGCTTACAATTCAAAATATTTTTCAACTATTAGTTAAAAAAAAATACAAAATGATAGATATTTATTAAAAGTTATTTCTTTGCATGCAATTATCTCTAAATAAGGAAAACATTTCGAGACATAGCGGAATGTGCTAAGAGTAAAATTAACATTTAGAGGTCTAAACTTTAGACAGCTTTTTTGATCAAACTATGGGAAACACATGCGGCTACCCCCTATATGTTAGAGATCAGAAATCCAAATCCGCCGGAAAAAAAGGAACGTTTTTTTCAGAGAAAGTACGTTTTTGTGTCTGATTTCGTAATTTGAAATTGTATGTGCAAATTAATTTGCATATTTGAGATTATCCTAACCAGTCATTAAGAATGAGTCCTAGAATGTGAAGATCCGATCATTAAATAAAAGTTATTAAGGGAGGGATGTTTTTTATTTTGCACACCGCACAAATTTTTACATTATTTTTAAATATGTAGGAAAGAGGAGGCTAGTGTGAATATAAAGCTAGATTAGACGGATGGAATATTTCTGTTATTTATCACTCAGAAATTGCCTGTAAATTTTGAAAGAATGGCAAAACTACATTACATATTTATAAATAGCTGCAAGACAAAACAACTGATGTGCTAAATAGCAATTTTAAAAAAAAGATTTTTATGGTAGAAAAGTAGTGTATTATTATTTGCTTCAACTGCGACTTTAAATTACTTTTATTCATAGTTTTTAACTATTGGTATAAATGAATATGTTTATTAATTAATGTTTTTTAAGTCTCATTTGATATGCCATTTTTTAATAAAACAATAATGAATTTATATGAACTAATGACTCTATTGTGCTAGATGGGACATAGGTATGGTGGCTACTGTGATTGTGTAAAGATTGGCCGAATCTCTTAGTGGTAGTAAATTTACGTTAATGTTAGCAGAAATTTCCTCGTTAAACGCTGGCGAATAAATTTCAAAGTTGCCGGATCACGCCATTAGTCGAAAATTACATCACTGCTTGTGGGAAACGGGATGGTATGTTTTGTCCTGCGTTGACGTGATTTTGAGAAATTGCCTAAAATTTTGTCTTGAAAACTCAAACAGTCAAAGTTATGAAAATAAAACTTAATACTGAGATTACGTATACATTTTCAGAAACTAAATAAGCCCATAACACCTGAAAGCGAAATCTGTAGATGAAATTAAGTCTGGTCATCTCCCTTTCCACACTTACAAGGGAAACTAGGGAAGTGTTACTCGCCAATTTTAAAATAAACTAGTGGGATATCTGCCTTATGAGGAATAATTTTAGGGGGCAAAATTCGTTTCGGCCCATAGAAGGTCCTGTGAGAGATAANAAAATTAGCTACTTTTTCTAGAATATTTACTTCAGTTTCATGATTGCTCTTTCACTTAATTATTCAGTTTTCGGCTATTTATTGCTAATGCAAAATTATAAGATTTCATAATTTTTTTAGCAATCTATATATCCATACACATTAGATTTTTGCTCTGAAAGATAGATAAATAGATATGCTGATAATATTTAAAGCTGCAATTAGTCCAGTAATTGTTTCAAGCATGATTTTCAAACACTCATGCTAAATCTTTGCATAATACTCTATTTCAATAAAATAATCATTTTAATTTTACTTTCAATTTTAAATGTGTTGATTACTCTTCGTATTAAAAAGCAAATATTTATGGTCTGAAATACCATCAGAGCGTATCTTTATTTCACGCCAGAGAAAAACTACACTACATAAAATAAGCATAATATACATTTGAAACAATAAATAAATAGAAATGAAATTTAAAAAAAATGCTGAATGAATCGAAAGAGAACATTCCTATCACATATAATCTTTCCACAAGTTTTGAAAGTCTGTTCCTTCAGTTCGTTCTGCAAACTTCTCTTCCAATCTGCGATTTTGATCCTTCGTCAGATAATTTCTCCAATCACCAACAATACCTTTCCTGACAAACTGTGTCACATTCGATCCTCCATTCTTACCTTCAACCGCCGCTTTTAAATTATCTTTCTGTTTCACTAAGAATTCTTTCAATGCATCTGGCATCGGTGCTTCTTTTAATTCATCTGGTGAAATCTGGGCGATATCTTTAAAGCTCTTGGCCATGGATTCCTTCATTTCTTTTAAACTACTGTACTTCTTAATATTCTCTAGGATTTCCGAATCGCTTCTAATGGGTTCGGCATATTTTTCATCATCGATGAAAGTCGCCATCTTTAAAATAGCGGCATCTAGGTCTTCTTTAAGCTCTTCATAAGTGAAGAACAATACATTTGGCTCGTTTCTGAAAGAAAAAAAAACAATGTTGATGTTATGTGAATGATAATGTTGAGGAAAAGAGAAAATATGAAGCATATTTTGGATCAATTTTGTTTTGGATCCCTAGATCGACACTGACAGGCATTGGCGCCGTTTTGGTGCTCATTTTTAATAATGATCCAAAGATGAAGTTCGGAGGACAGATATTTGTATTTGTTCTGTACCTCATACCCTAACAATCAGTGGATATTTCCAACTCAGCAATAGCCAGGGACAATACATTAAAATTAGTTTCTAACTACAAAAACATAATTGGAAAAGTAGTATTCAATAGGACAACCCAGATTTAGGTTTGAGTACAATGATTGGCGATGACAAGCCGTATGGATAAATGCTAAATAATTGAAATTATTGATACCCGACTTTTGCACCAAGCTCCTTGAACACCCAACTCTGCATGACTTTGTCTGAAATCGCAAGGAACATAATTTAATAGAGGATTATTAAACCACTACTATACGTTTGAGCATCAAGCAGGTGCTACGAGGGGAATCTAACATAAGCCTAGGCCTTCAAATGATAAGAAGAGGAAAGGCTCAATCTGGAAAAGCCAGGTCCAGCCAGGCCTTTCCAGATTGAGCAGCAGCGTCTAGAAGAACTCCTTTAAGAAAAAATTTAAAAATATCTAAAAATATTTAAAAGTATCTAAAGTTTAGGGACGAATATTTTGTATGAGCAATATTTATGCAAGACACTAAATTTCCTTTATTAGAAAAAAGTCCATCTATAAAAGATCTCTAATCAATTGCGCTTCAGTTCCCTTAGGATTGTGTTTTCAAATGGCTTAATATCTAATTTTTGATATGTTAGTTACTGATTTAAGTTCCTGAAAGAATGAAATATCCTAGAAAGCATTATAGCGAATATTTATATCTAACAACAAAAACAAATGCAGTTAACATTAACGGAAATATCTCTTTAAAATTAATTTTGGGAATACATTTTGTGAGCAAGTAAAATTACAACTGCTCATTCATTTTTAATAAGTAATTTCACATAAGATAATTTTACATAAGAGCATTTTTTTATGTTTATTTATTATTTTTCATTAATTTAATAACGGACGAAAATTTTGGAATTTGAAAGTATCTAATATATTATTTAATTTAAAACAATGCAATTTTATCTGATAAAATCCAATCCGAAATTTAAATTAAATTAATTAAATATTTCTTGCAGAGAAAAAATTAGAAAGTTTGACTATTTTTAAAAATTTCATTTCTTAGAAAACTTTTGGTTGACTATACCAAATTTTTATTTTATTTTGTCATTTAAAATTACTTCGTTTAAATTGAAATAATAATTTATGTACCTTGTACATACATAATTAAAAAATAATAATTTTTATTATCGATTGCTCTTGAATGAAATAATAAAAAATAATAAGCAATATTTAATATTTCGCATAAAAATATCTTTGAATAAAAAATTACTCGTATGCGATTTTTTTTATTCTCTCAAATAGTGTCGGAAATATGGAAAAATGCACAAAAATGTAGATTAACGTTAAGAGGCCCAAATTTTTAGCTACTCTTCTGCCTAAGGTTTCTATGACGACCAACAAAAGCCAAGGGGGAACTTGTTTTTCGATTTCGGGCAAAAATTTTTTTCTGGATTTAACAAAACTTGTATTTAGTCATGGATAGCTACATTTTGGACTTTTCAGATTGATGACTTTTGGGTTTGCAGGCTTCAGAAATAAAAAAATTGTGTCAATATTTACACTAAATCGGTAGAACATTTGGCAGTATATTTAGTAGTGCTGATTTCACGTATGTTTTTTGCTTTCGCGCATATATTTCAACCACCCTATTTTATTATCTATTTGAAATTTAATTTTATATTTTATCAATATATTTCCCACTTGTTTTTATGTTATTATTTTAAAATATTTAAATACATTTGTGCTGTGCATTCTGTTTGGTTACTATAAAAGTTTACATAGTGTTCAAGGTAATTTTGAAAAATGATCAAGCTGGTCGTCAAAGGCAGCTAGATATCACTAAATATTGAACTTGTTATTATAATTGTACTTTTTAGGAAGTAAACTTGAAAGTCTTTCCATCCGTTAAGGGTTAAAACGCCACATACACTAATTGCTTAGCATGTTTGAGGACAGCTTCTTGAACCATTAAGTATTCATTTTGATAGTTTTATCATTAGAGCAATTAAGTTTTTTTTTTATGAAATTAGCGACTGATATGGCTGAGTGAAATCGCAGTACCTTTCTTTTTAAAATGGGTTTGTATAATCCTGTGGCTCCAGCGAAGTTCTAAAAATGCTTGTACTTGACCAATTAGCTTCTTGTCAAATTTCTTCAAAGGCATTTTTGTGATTTTATGAAATAGTATTGCAATTGAAAGTCTAATAGCGGAGCTTTAGATCAGTAAGCTATATATGTAAAAAGGTTCTAAAACTTTAGCCACAAAAGTGATCCCTATACTTTTTTGTTACCCTGTAGTAGCGAGCGAAGCAAGCTTGGTTTGCGAAGCAAACCATATTAGATTGCGTAGCAATTTTCGGGGGTTGGTGAGCGTTAGCGAGCAGGGGGCGCAGCCCACTAGTATAAGATATTTTACTAAATGCTTTAGTATAGTAAGAAAATAAAAATAATAAAAATAAAATAAAATTAATGTCACACAAACCTGTGAGGATACCAAGACATAAGGTGGTCGAAATAATCACCATAATCAGTTTTTCCAGAGATGAAGAGCTCAAAAAATTCTTCGAAAGTCCCGTTGAAGTTATGGCCCGGCAAATTCGTCAAATGGTGAAAATATGAAACACAGCAGTCCTTTGGATTTCTTGCGACGCATATATATTTGGCATCTTCAGACCAAGGCGTCAGGTGAAATGGCAGATGCGTTTTGATTGGACCTGGTCTCCGCATCTTTTCAACGAATTCAGCTCCTTTTAGAATATAAAATAATACATTTCAAAACAGAATCTCAAAATAATTCAAAAGTTTTTTTTTTCAAACATTCTTTAATCGTATAAAATTGCGCAGCTTACAAATGTGTGATATCAATTGCAAATTGCGTTATTTTATGCATTGAGTTAAATTGACTCTGACTACAATTACATATAAATACCCTAACATAATTATGTCAGGTTTGCGCATTACCTTATACGGCTCTAAGTGCTTGCTAAATGTAAATCGAATGCCTGCTCACAAAGTCACTTCAATTGGCATTTACTATCACTAAGGAGGTGTCGAGGTGACTCAAGGTATAGAGCGTTCGCCACCCAATGAGTTGACCCAAGTTCGAACCCCAGTAGTGATTGGTTCATACGAATTCTGCTCCCGGCTCGCACCAACCACAGTGCTGACGTAAAATATCCTCAGTGGTTGACGGATCATGAGTTTGATTCCCCTTGCAGTCATGGTAACCGTAAATGGTTTTCGGAGTTTCCATGTAACGCAAATTCAGGTTAGTTACATCAACAAGTCCTCCACGAAAGCTAAGTTTGTTTCAATGTTTGATCCAGGATTTCCCTTGTCTGGTTCTGGGTTGGTTTGAAAATTACAAAAGTACGGAGTTGAGCATTGACAGTTGTAAATTAATAATTGGGTGAACTGTTCAACGACGGTTATAAAACAAAATACCACTAGAAAAATGCGTCTAAGTAGATTTTAAAAGCTATCAGATATGCATAGGAGAGTTTTTAATACTAGGATTTAATAGAGTGACTCAGGTAAGCAGGATTTTTTTTTTAAAAAAAAACTATATCTTAAGAAAGAATATTAAAAAAAGTATTTTTCCCTCCAAAAGTGCATTATACAGTTCTCGTAGCATGACTCATGTTTTCGCATTAAAAAGTCACAAACTATCTCTACTTTTTCTAAAAGTTGACATAGGAAAGTCGGATAAGAAACACTCAGATCCAGCGTTTACATTTCTCGCAGCTTATTTTGAAAACTGCAGAATGCTTGGTGTAGCAAATTTTTCCGATGACATCTTTAAGAAGTAAAGAGTAAATTTGACAAAATGTCGAAAACTGTTTATAATAATCTTTACGAAATTATACGCATAATCTTCATAATAAATAATCTTTAAGAAATTTATATTTTAAAAAGTTTAAATGTGAAACAGAAGATACAACTTAAATTTACGGCAAACGGAAAACATAGTGTTCAAAAATCTCAAAAGCGTTACTTAAATTTCGTGCAACATTATCAAACATAACATGGCGTGCTTTCCAGGAAATCAACTTCGTTTGAAATAAAGAAAGAAAATGAGTTACCATTAGTGTTTCATATTTTTAGAAAATTGATAGCCTTGATACTACCATTAAATTTTAAATTAATACATTGACAACCTGCTAAGATATATTATGACCATTTCTCACTTGATCATCCTAGTAAAGTTCATTTTTTTAATTTCATTTAAACCATCGTAAATTTAAATAAAAATATTTAAAAATGAAACTACATCTAGTTATTCTTCTTTTACATCTTTTTATTTAATTTTTTGCCCAAAAAACATTGATTATAACATCAACATTGCTGAAATACTTAATACTTTTTTTGTAATGTTGACCTCGTTGATAATAAAACAAATACATAATTAGCATTGCATATATGAACACTAGTTGCATTTCACATAAAAATTTTTTTAATTGTATTCGATCGATGTCATTCAATGTTTAGTACAAAACTATGTTTTGTAAAAATTGAAAGATTTGTTTGCAGAACTAGTAAAACTTTATTTCACAAATAAATATATTAAAGTCATCTATTTAAAAAAACATTCTAATAAATTACATTTCCAAAAATATTTATGGAGCTAGACGGTCATCATTTTTTTAAACCGGGTAATGATATTTTTTTCTTTTTGAGTAACATTATGCTGATACGCTAAGTCAGTATTTTGCAGAAAAAAAACGAAAACTGAAAATGAATGAATGGATCATCGTATCTAACATTAATTTTCTCACATCATAAACGACGTATCAAGCACTAAAAAAAATTGTAAGCATTTTAGAATCGCAAACCATTATAAAAATATGTAACTTGCGTAAAATATTTGTCTTCTACATTTCGCGCATTATTAATTTTAAACGAATTAAAACCGTAAAAAAAAATTTGTCTAAACTCTGTGTTTATGAATAAGGTTGAGTAATGAGATAAACCACAGTGGATAGCTTATAAAAATGGTTGCGGCAGATAAATAATAATTTTAATTATTAGTACAATTAAAAAAAATTCTTATTGGGAGAATTCAAAACGTTAAATATTACTTTTCACTACAAATGTTTTGTGTTTTGCTTAAACTAAGTCAGAAACAACTAAACTAAGTCTGTACTCAAAAATAGGAGAAACTTTATAGCCACATTTTTTTCAAAGAACAAAAAACATCAAAAATACGGCCTAACACTATTTAACGCTATTTGTTTCCTACGTTATATTTGATGACAAAAAATATCTATATCAGATCCAAATACTTGCTTTCTAATCTGAATCGTAATTGAAACCGTATTTGCGCTTGTAATGTTAATCAATAAAATATTTTTTTTCTCTGATTATAATGCTTATTTATCTAAAATATTCCGAATAGAAAAAATTAATATCGAAATTAAATTAGTAACGATAGTGACAAAAGATTTCCATCCTATCTCATCAGTTCATATTGATGCTAAGTAATCTTAATTTATTCATATAAATGCCGATTTCCTGGTTTACGAGATGAATCCCTCACAACTCTCAGTTGCTCCTGGAAATGACCTGATTAAATCACATTAGATTAACATAACATTAGATAATCACACTAAGATTAACGAATTTTTTCTATTTATGTTTTTCCCCTTAATTTAATTTTCCATTTTATAATTGGAATCTTTGTGATTTTTTTTTCAATTCTATTTTTTTACATTCATGTGTGAAAAGTTTTGAGAATTGGCATCTATTTTTGAGCGCTTAATCTTTAAAATTTATTAAGTAAATGAAAGTGTTTATGCAGGAGTGCTAAATTTGAACTAAATTTTGAAACGTTACTCGTTTATTTACCCTTTTTTTTAAAAGTATTACGAGAGAGTATAAAACACTTGGAGGTTTAATTGTTGAAATGATGGCAAAATTAATCAAATTTTTAAAGAAGTTTCTGTTTCTTAGTTTTTACCATATCCTAAAATATTTCGCAGAAAGCAGACCAGTTGGTATCCCTGCATGAATAGTTTTGATTTCTATGCAGGCCTGAAAGTGAGACGGGTATGAGAAAAAACTGTAGTAAAATAATTTAAATTATAGCTGGTTTTTACGAAGAAAAAAAAAACTCTTACTAATCTTAAATATAAACTATTCAACGCAATCATAGATATTTTTCTCTTCCCGAAAAATAGCTAGAATAAAATAATTATTTTATCATTCTTTTTCTTTTTCTTGTCTTGACATATATAATATTTCAGCCCTGTTACTATTATGAAATGAATGAGTTATGAAATACATTTGAAATACATTATGAACATGAAATACATTTGAAATACATTATGAACATGAAATACATTTGTTGAACAATAATTGAGTAAATAAATTGGAGGGTATCCTTAAAATTCAACAATTGTCAGTCAGATTACAGTAAGTTAAAAACTAAATTAAATGAATATAAGTTAAAACAAATGAAAATTAATAAGTGGAATATGTAATTAAACATCTTTTTACCTGTCATTTCTAAAACAGGAGCTTTTGCAAGAATGTCAGACGACTTCTTTAAAGGCTCACCCTTCTGAAGTAAGAGCAACAGTATCTGTCCCGTCCATGTCGTTCCACATTTTGGATAAGTCGCCAAAAAAATATCATCTGAGCGTGGTTTGTATTTAAGAGCTGAACGGAAATTTTCCGCCGAAAACATACCAGGAATTTGAAATCCGTCAACCTCTTGTGAAAAAGGAACTGCTGACATTTTTCTTGTTCTTACAAAACCATATGCACACGAGCAATTCATTTTGAATAAAAATTGGTTTTCAAATTGAAAGATATTCAAACCTAACTTTATGAAAAGTAAACTAAACGGAAGATTTTATAAAAGGTAAATTTTGATACCAATATGAATTTGTTTTAAAGATTCACCAGGCGTCACGGAAATAAGTTTTAACGCAATAAAGGAAAATTATACAATTATATTGCTTTAAAAACTTCTGAGTAAGTGAAATTTTAATAAAAATATTAAGTCTGGTAATTAACAAAGGATTTAACATTAAATAGATTTTAAAAATAAATTTAGAGAAAATTTTATTCTTAAGTTATTAAATTTTAATACAGATTTCACGATGAGTAAAATTTAACAAAATCTTTAGGATTTAGTTAATTTAAGTAAGCAGTATTTTTAAGTACCTTTTTCACAAAAGCTCGTTCATTTAAGACATGCAACCAAAATATGAAGGTCCGCTTAATGCGCTTGAATATTTATCCGGTTGGAATTTCTCGTATCGACCTTTAAATATTGACACGTTCATTGTATTTTTAGAAAGCTTGATAAATGTAAGGAGGGACTTCAAATCCCTCCTCCTATTCAATATTTATACAATCAATTTCCTTTAAGTTGTGACTTTGATTCGGTACACATACATCGATGTAAACATAGACTTCGAGTTCTTTATCTAACAGTTTTTTTTCCCAAGACCATTGTTTATTTTTGCTTCTTATTTGTTTATTTACACTAAGAAAACTACATTTATAATTAGCGTTATACCCGAGTTTTATTTTCGAAGAAGTTTGAAAAAAAAAGTGCCTTTTTAACAAGAAATTTAAACGTTAATTTCTTCTCTCTAAAATTAACAGTTAGTTTGAACAATTAGTTTGGAAACAGTTAGTTTGGTGGTTATAAAAGGGCCTTGATATTATGAAGATCAGTATCAATACTTGAATTTTTAAATTATTGTAGTTGTTGTCAGTAATATCAGAGAATATTAATGTTTTTTATACTTTTTTGTTCGCTAGGTTGATATTAAGTTTACTGAATTACAATATAGTGGGCAAAGTTTATCAGAAGTAAAAATAATGAAATAAATAAAAAAAGATGAAGGAAAAAAATTATGAAGATCAGTTTCAATACTTAAATTATTAAATTATTAGTATTGTTATTATTTTTATTAATAATAATAATAAAGATGACTGTTTCTTCAACTTTTTTGTTCGTTTGGCTGAAATGAAGCTCATTGAATTACAATAATAGTAGGCAAAGTTTATCAAAAATAAAAATAATAAAATAAATAAAAAAAGCTGAAAGAAAAAAAATATGGAGATCAGTTTCAATATTTAAATTATTAAATTATTATTATTGTTATTATTTTTATTATTAATAATAATAAAAATGACTGTTTCTTCAACTTTTTGTTCGTTTGGTTGAAATGAAGCTTATTGAATTACAATAATAGTAAGCAAAGTTTATCAAAAATAAAAATAATGAAATAAATAAAAAAAAGTTGAAAGAAAAAGAAATTATGAAGATCAGTTTCAATATTTAAATTATTTTTATTGTTATTATTTTGATTAATAATAATAATAATAATAAAGATGACTGTTTCTTCAAATTTTTTGTTCGTTTAGTTGAAATTAAGTTTGTCGAATTACAATAATAGTAGGCAAAGTTTATCCAAAAAAAAAAAAATAAATAAAAAAACTAAATTATGAAGATCTGTATCAATACTTGAATTTTTAAATTATTATTATTGTTATTTTTATTATTAATTGTAATGAAGATGACTGTTTCTTCTGCTTTTTTTTGCTCATTNTCAGTTTCAATATTTAAATTATTAAATTATTATTATTGTTATTATTTTTATTATTATTAATAATAATAATAAAGATGACTGTTTCTTCAACTTTTTTGTTTGTTTGGTTGAAATGAAGGCTTATTGAATTACAATAATAGTAAGCAAAGTTTATCAAAAATAAAAATAATGAAATAAATAAAAAAAGCTGAAAGAAAAAAAAATTATGAAGATCAGTTTCAATATTTAAATTATTATTATTGTTATTATTTTGATTATTATTAATAATAATAATAATAAAGATGACTGTTTCTTCAACTTTTTTGTTCGTTTGGTTGAAATTAAGTTTGTCGAATTACAATAATAGTAGGCAAAGTTTATCCAAAATAAAAAAAATTTAAAAAAAAAACTAAATTATGAAGATCTGTATCAATACTTGAATTTTTAAATTATTATTATTGTTATTTTAATTATTAATTGTAATGAAGATGACTGTTTCTTCTGCTTTTTTTGTTCATTTGGCTGAAATTAAGTTTATTGAATTACAAAAATATTGGACAAAGTTTATCCAAAATAATAAAATGAGCAATAACTTTTAAAAACACCACTTTTGCCACCACTTTGAAATTTTTTTCTGACTCCTGTTCTCTTTTCTTCTGAGTCATGTTTTCTTTTTCCTTTTTGCTGACTCTTTTTTTCTGTCTATAATATGGTTGGCTTTGCCCCCTTAGGTATTCAAAAAACAATTTAGCTATCAGAAACAGTTTGACTGATCGAAAGTTTTTCTGATTGAACATTAGGTTTCTTTTGTATTGATGCTACAATGTCTAACTGTCACAATAGCTAACTTATTCCATGAAGCTCAAGTATCATAATCTGTACATATAACTACTCACCCACATCGCACATCAGTAAATATCATGCATCATCACCAATGCATAACCTTAAAGTTCTGTTAATCACAATCATTAGCCACTTGTAATTCATGTGCATTTCACATTACACAGTCATATTTCATCGAATCAAGTTTAAGATGGAAAGGAACGCCTCGCGTCTTCAGGCCCCCAGCTAAAATATTAAATTGAAGTTTAATATTAGGCAAAACCCCTTAAACCTGCGCCATACCATCCAGTTCTTAAATCAGTGAATGAAACATCTGTTACTCAACCTTTGAGATTAACAGTATAACTTTAGAGCCGAGTTGTCCATCAGAACAAAATAAGCTCATTTCTACCTACGACAGATATTTCAATCGCTTTTGACAAAGGAATAATATACAACACAGAAATGACACAGGAATAGCATACAAATTAAGGAATAACACAGGAGCACAGGAATAATATACAAATTAAGCCAACTTAACTTTTCACTTCGAATAAAAATAATTCATCATTATCTTTTAACAAGGCTGGGGGGGGGATGTAAGAACAACGTCAGGACTGTAACAGGATCCGTTAAAGGGAAACTTTTTGAAATGGTAACAAAAGTTAAAAGAATAATAATAATAATAATTGAGATAAAGTTTCTTAAAACCGTATTCTCCACAACGACTAATGTTCCCAAATTAACTGGTTACGAATTCACCTAGAACGTATTTTTTTAATTTTTAAGTAAAAATTAATCCATAGTAGCGTTTAACTTTTTATGACAATATTAGCTCCTCTTTTTAAATTTTAGGACCATAAGAATCCTGTGTTACGATAGCCCAAAGTTGCAGTTAATTCAACATTAAGAGAAGAAATGGGACTTCTTGGTTCAGTTTCTGTGTTATAGCTACTAGGTCGTAGATTCTATTCATGCAGGAGAAAGTTTTTAATTTTTATTTCTGCAAAAGGAAAGTATTAATGTTAAGTATATATATTAAAAGCTATTATTTTAATTTATTCAACAGTCTTTCGTTTGCAAAATATGAGTATTTTTTTAAGGAAAAAAATGACTCTCAATTTAATTAGACAGCTATTAAAATTAAAATTCTACTGACATAAAAAAAATAACTTTATTAAAAAGGATAAATAAAAAATTGCTTATACTTTTCAAATTTAACAAAAATTTTCTCCTTAATTAATTTTCTTCAATGTAAATGTATTTCTTATCGAATAAGAAAGAAAACTTCCGTTTTTTTTATCAAACAATTTCCTAAAACAATCCGTGTTTTGTCATTTTTATACAAAAAAAATCATTTTTCAGCTTAAAAATTGAAAATTTGAGACTAAATTTAGTAAATAGTTTTTTAATTGAAAAACTAAAGAAAAAATCATTTTTCATTTTAAAGAAATGAGAGCATGAAGCTTCACCAGTGGAATATAAAGCCTGCAAACGGTAGATATCTTAAACATTTCGCCACCTGCTAACGTGTATTGCATTTTTTAATTTTATTTTAATATTAAATGAACCCAAAGCTTTGAAAAGGTCACACCTTGCACCAGGAGTGGAAATTGAAGCAAATGTTTACTCAATTTTAAGTTTCAGACCATGCTCTTCAATTTAAGGTTTCTTTTTGAAAGAATTTTACAGATTCGAATTTCTCTTGTGATGATAGAAAAGAAAATAATGTTGATGATCTTCAAGTGGATTTACACCATTTATGTATTAATCTTCAATAGTCTAATATTTAGGATTAAAGTTGAGGCGCACAAGTATTTTTGGTTGAATAAACTTTAGAAAACACAACTTCCTTTACGATGGCAATGTAAGCAAAATTTAATGAACTTGTAATTAAAGAAAATGCAGTTGGAAAGTTATAAAATCGAGCAAATTGTAAGTGCCTGCGCTAAATCTTTATAAAACTTTAACATTCTCAGTAAGAAATCGAAATTTTGATTTGTAAGCTTTAAAATAGCAAAATTTATATAAAATCAATCAATTAAAAATTATAATAGCTTGTTAAAATACAATTTCAGTTAATATTTATAGGAAAACCAAAAACTTTAAGTCCTCTTTTTTTTTCTTCTGTAATCTGCCAAAAAATCTGCCATTCCGAGGAAAAAAGAAAAATATTTTTTTTTTTCAATTAGCAAAAAACGCTTATTTTCTACAAAATTTTTTATACACAACTTAAAAAAAAATCCTTGACAATTTAAACTTGCTAAAATCTTTACAAAACTTATATAGAAATTTTAAAAACAGTCACGATTTCACCTTATCTGTAAATGGAAAGAAGAAGCTTTGTTATGACGTTCAAACGTTATCTGTGAAACGAAAGTGGCCAAACTCTCTCAATATCACCAACTTTACTGTTTTGTTGTGACTGATAAACTACCTACTCGAAGTGGCCAAACTCTATCAATGAAATGATAAAAGTTGAATGAACTTATTTTCCGTAATTTTACTACACAAGAATTTTCCGCTCTAGTTTTAGTTTCGATTTATATTTATTTTTAAATCTTTTTTTCAAATTTAAAATAAAAATGTCAGTACTTTCATAGAGAAATATTTTTAAAAAAAAATTAAAATTAGGAATGATTTTATGTTGTATCGAATATTATTAAAAAAAGTGAAGGAAAATAAATAGTAGATCTTTATAGTGTAAAGGTATGGTGTTACTTGATTATACTTGAATAGAAAAAAAAAGAATAAAAATCATTTTGTGAACCGGACTATGAATCCTGGACTTAGGCTAGATAAATAAATGACTTTAGTGAATAACCCTGATCGATAGTTTGAATGATATAATTTTTTTTATTATTCTATTCATGTAGTCAGCAATTTTTTGTCCTTCCAATGATAAAGGACAAAAGA